CCCTACCACAAATCTAGAGGGATTTTCAGTCGATTTGAAGCTAGACCCGATTGCTATCCCGGCGTTTGATGGAGACATGTGTAACTGGCTGGCTTTCAAAGATGCTTTTGAAACGCTTGTACATCGGTCCTCTTACACTGAAGCGTATAAGTTGGGTAAGCTACGGCAAGCAGTCAGTGCGAGCAGTGTACCCTTAGTTGGAAGTATATACTCTGGTGGCTATGAGGAGGTGTGGAAGGCCTTGAAGGAGCGCTACGACAACAGGAAACAGCTTGCTGAAATACACGTGTCACGCTTCCTTAACCTCAAAGTAGCTGCAGAAGAATCATCGAAGGCCTTACTAGCTATTGTTGACACGGTGCATGAGACGTTGCGCGCATTACGAGTCATGGAGATTCCCGTCAATCAATGGGATGCATTATCGGTGCCAATTGTGGTCTCGAAGCTACCATCTGCTACGAAAAGGGACTGGTGTATGAAATGTTCTTCACACGAAATACTTCTACTAGAAGATCTTCTGAAATTTCTTGAAAGACGGGCGCATAGCATTTCTGCGGAATCTCCGCCCCGACAGCAACGCTCGGTGAAGTCGCACGTGGCAGCTGCTGAGGTGGGACAGTGCGCACAGTGCCGTGGAAGTCATCGTATTATTAAGTGTCCTGCACTCATAGCAATGCCAACAGAGCAGCGGTTCGAAGCAATACGAAATTTGAAGCTTTGCTACAATTGTTTACGGGGTGGACATTCTTCGAGGCAGTGTCCATCGGGAGGTTGCAGGAGCTGTGGCCGCAAGCACAACACCATTTTGTGCCGCGACAAACCTTCGACCATTCTACAGCCAGCCTCACCATCTCCACCCCACGTGTCTAATGAAGGAACCAGTCAAGTAAAATCAACAACTGCTTTGTGACTAGCGGCCCGTGCAGCAGCCACTGTTGCCCAATCCAAGCCAATAACTCTTTTAGCGACAGCACGGGCATATGCTTATGGAGAGGCATTGGTTCAACGCGTGGCTCGTATCTTGTGCGATCCAGGATTGCAGGTTAGCTTAATTACACATCGCTTTGTAAACGCATTACGGCTATTTCGACGGAAGTGCAGTGTTAACATCGAGGGTGTTGGAGCAGCCGTCAACACGCAAGCTAAAGGCAGTGTTATACTTACACTGAAGTCTACAACTACTAAATTTGAGATGCAGATTGAAGCTCTGGTGATACCATTTATCACTTCTCAGACACCTGCCATGAAGGTGGACATGTGCCAGTGGTCCTACTTAAAGGAACTGGACTTGGCGGATATTTGGTTTGGTACTCCTGGAACTATTGACGTTCTTATTGGTGCGGATGTGTGGGGACAAGTAGTGGAGGGTGACATTATCGGCGGACGACCTGATGAACCCTTCGCCCAGCGTACCCGCTTTGGCTCGGTAGTATTTGGCCCAGCAACTGTTTCTTCTACATCGAATGGGTCATCATCGCTCGCACTCAGCGCGTTGCTAGGTGAGGATGAAGTGCGGTTGGAAGAACTGGTTCGGAATCTTTGGAGAATGGATGGCGATTCAATTGATTATGAATCTCATGATGAAGAGTGTGGTCACATCTTTGACTCCACACATCGTCGTACCTTGGACGGGCGCTACGTCGTGCATCTACCACTGCGGCGGGACGCGCCGGTACTAGGCGACTCTTATTCACTTGCGTTGCGGCAGTTCACTCGACTGGAACGCCGCCTGCTTGCTGACCCTACACTACAGGAAAACTATGTGAAGTTTATGCGTGAGTATGCTGCGCTGGGGCATATGGAGCCTGTGCAAGCACCATATTCTCATGACGGGTGCTACTACATCCCTCATCATGCGGTTGTTGGAAAGTTTCGAGTCGTGTTCAACGCGTCAGCGCAAACGAGTACTGGCGTTTCCCTCAATGACATTCAGCTGGTGGGCCCGACCATTAAGGACTCACTTGTAAACATACTGTTACGATTTCGCAGATACCGAGTGGCGATTACCGCTGATATTGAGAAGATGTTTCGGCAGGTGCTGGTTACCTCCGAACATCAGGATCTCCAGAGGATCATAAGGCGAGAGTCACCGGCAGACAATATCGGTGTTTATCGTTTGAAGACAGTCACTTATGGGATGGCGAGCAGCCCTTACAACGCCGTACGTGCCCTTCAACAGTGTGCGGTCGATAACTGCAGTGTAATTCGAGACGAGGATCAGGCGGCTCTTGCTCGAAATGCAATCTTGACTTCGTTCTATGTTGATGACTTTTTGACAAGCTGTGCGAATGCCAGTGAAGGAATAGAACTGGCGAGGAGTGTAGATGCTATTCTATCTTCGGGAAAGTTTAGGCTGAGCAAATGGAACTCAAACGATAATCAGGTAACGATGTGTTTGTCGAGTAACGCCTCTATTTCCAGTTATACATCCAACTCCGGCGAGACTTCGGTCCTGGGCCTTAAATGGGATTCGGTGACTGATGAGTTGTTCTATCGCGTTGAGATTGAGCCGGCAATAGATGTTCCTACCAAGAGAAGCGTGCTTAGGGAAGTCGCTCGACTCTTCGATCCTACTGGTTTGCTATCCCCCGTAGTAATAACGGGGAAGGTTTTCATTCAGAAGATGTGGTCTGTGGGGTTGGCTTGGGACACTCCATTACCCGACGACCTTCGTGAGGAATGGCTGAGGTATCGTTCCAAGCTTAAGGCTCTGAATCAAGTTCGAATCGAGCGGTGGTTGGGTATGGTGCGACATGGCCGGACCACGTTACATGGGTTCTGCGATGCCAGCTCATATGCATACGCGGCCGTTATCTACGTAAGGACAATAGACGATTCCCACGCAACGCCGCTCTCGCTCCTTACTGCACGCACGAAAGTGGCTCCACTCAAAGGCTCAACCATACCACGACTTGAACTCTCGGCAGCAGTGTTGTTAGCAGAAACCCTCCGGCAAGTGCAATCGGCCCTGAGCTTGTCCGAAGCTCCCTACTTTCTGTGGTCGGACTCTGCAATTGTATTATGCTGGCTTAAAAAGCAACCATCAACCTTGAAACCATTTATATCAAACCGTGTTCGCAGGATTCAAGAGTTGACATCTCCAGATCGATGGCGTCACATTCGTTCGGCGCAGAATCCCGCTGATTGTGCTAGCAGGGGCATAACACCGCAAGAGCTGCTACATCACCCACTTTGGTGGCACGGACCCGGTGAGCTAGATAGCTCGGCGCTATATAGTACGGACATACCCCTCAGCCCGGACGAGTCCAAGGTACTTCACGCTGAGGAGCGAACAGTATCGTGCCTGGTCGGAGTGCATCTGGTCCGACCATTGGAAACGCGCAGGCGAGATAGCCATGTCATCTCGTTGACTGAACGCTTCAGTTCCATGCAGCCGTTACTAAGGACGGTGGCCGTCCTGCTACGATGGTTACCGAGACGTCGACACTTTCGTCAACCTGTTGTAAGTGCACGGGAGTTAGATGATGCGCTTGACAGTTTGATCCGGTTGGAGCAAGCAACTAATTTCGCGTCCGAAATTAAGCAGCTGAAGGCCAGCTCAGGTTTGTCGTCTTCAAGTCAGATTCTCTCATTAAATCCCTTCTTAGATGAGCACCTGATCCTACGTGTTGGAGGTCGTCTCCACAAGGCGGAAGTTGAGCACGACCAGCGATTCCCGATGATCTTGCCGAGATCCAGTCCTCTCGTGCACCTCTTAATCCGACAAGCTCATGAAACAACGCTACATGGAGGAGCACAGCTGACGCTGCATACACTTCGTCGCCGTTTCTGGATTTTAAACGCAAGACAAGCTGCCAAGTCCTTTGTACACCACTGCGTCGTATGTCGACGTCACCGAGGGGTGCTCCTCAAGCAGCAAATGGCTTCGTTACCCGGGCAGCGAGTTAAACCTGCAAGACCATTTGTATCCGCTGGGGTGGATTATTGTGGCCCTTTCACTCTACGTGTTGGCACAAAACGCTCTCGCACTCTCGTGAAGACATACTTGGCTATTTTTGTATGCATGGCGACTAGAGCCGTTCACATCGAGGTGGTGGATGATCTGTCTGCGCAAGCCTTCCTCGGCGCTTTTACACGCTTTACCAGTCGGCGGGGTCCTTGCCGCGACTTATACAGCGATAACGGCACGGCATTTGTGGGTGCGAATCGACTGCTCCAGGAAGACGTGGCGGCATGGAACAATGAGAACAATCAACGATCGTTAGCGAGCATGGGCACCCAGCGGCATTTCATCACTCCTAGTGCACCACACCAGGGTGGTCTCTGGAAGGCTGCGGTTAAATCTGCCAAGCATCATCTGGTCCGCTGTGTTGGTTCTCAGACTATGTGGTACACCCAATTGCAGACCCTGGCCGCGCTTATAGAAGCGTGTCTCTATTCCCGTCCGATCACTCCACTGTACGATGACCCAGACGAGAAGTTTGCATTGACACCAGGGGACTTTCTCATCGGAGCACCGCTTTTAGCTGTGCCGGAGCCAGACATACGCGAGATTCCCACCAATCGCTTGAACCAGTGGCAGTGGGTACGACAAGTCCACCAGCAGTTTTGGCAGCGTTGGAGCTCCGAGTATTTGATCACGCTCCAGAGGCGCAATAAGTGGCAGCGACGCGTCCGGATATCCGAGTCAACGATGTGGTGTTGGTGCGGCATGAGAATCTACCACCAACCCAGTGGCGTCTTAGTCGTGTGGTGGCAGTGCATCACGGAGACGACGGAGCCGTCCGAAATGTCACTTTGAAGACTGCGAGTGGATGCATCACCCGAGCTGTTCAAAAGCTATGCTGCCTGCTTGAACAAGATGATTTCGAGTCAGCCGACTCGACCGGGCAGGATGTTTAGAGTTAAGTGTGAACTCATTGTCATGTTTTCTTAACTATCAAACTTGTACTCTATGGCTACCCTAGTTTATCGATAACTATGTATCTACTTTGACATTTCTATTGTTTGCCAAGAATCCATTTGCATTAGTACGGTTTTTTTGTAATATTCATTTTGTTATATAAGCGCGAAACCATCTTGTATACGGTCTATTTTGCGACAATATCTGCAGCAATAAACGTGCGATTTCTAGAGGACATCGTTGGAGTCTTTTATTTAACAAGTCGTGAATACACCAATGTGTCAGATCGGGGAGGGATATAGCATAGAGCTAAGTAATTAGACCCTTTTCCAGCCTGTACACGAATGCATTTGAATTCTACTGAATCAATGTAAGGAAAACTAACTTCTTCAGATGGTATTGAAGAGTCTACAGCGAAGAGTACGCCATCGCCGATTCTGTCCTCCCTATCTTGC